CTATCCCAGCCAAAACCAGGACAGGCTGAAAGGCCTGAGTTCTCTCTGTCATTGCCAGATGTTACTGGGTACTTCCCCAGTGTGACATTTGGGAGGACTCACAGAGGCGTGCCGTCTGCTTTGCCTGCCGGAGGGCAGCGGGTGCGGACCCACGTCGCCAGCAGGAACCCCAGGTACCCCAGCAGTCCAAGGAGCAGCAAACTGCCGAGGGTGATGACGAACGGCACGTACCACGCCGATTCAGAGTAGAGGTTTTCCCTTTTTGTCACAACAGTGAAGCCAGGCTTTTAAAACAAGATAGGAAAAGTTCCTCAAGGCTGCATACTTCTAAGGTTACTGACACCAACAGCACCTTTCATGTGGCTGAACTTCTGCACTGAAGCACCTGGCCCAAGTTTGCCCCAGGGCTCTGCAGATGATGGGCAGAGGGAGATAGTGTCTGCTGGAGACAGTGATTCATCCCACGTACCTGCCTGCTGACTGCCAAGTCAGCTCAGATGACTGAGATGGACTACCAAGCTCCTGGGGCAACCAAAGGCAGGTGAAATGGAGCCCACCCACGATGCAAAAAGGAGGCTCCAGATCATGTTTCAATGTCTTATATTAAAGCATTCATGCCATGATGGGGTTTAAAAGCCTCAGGTTGCCTGAGAAGCTGGGAGCGCACTGTTGGAGGGTGAGCAAGTTCAGGGAATACTGCCATTACTGAGATAATGGTTTCTTGTTACCTAAGGCAAAACTGGAAGTAGGTCGTCTTCACTGCAGTGATCATTCGGCCCCCTTCGTAAGAGCAGTTGAACCCCGAGGAATTGCGTTATGTACAAAAAGAAATGAAACTCCTTTTTTTTTCCCTATGACTTGTTCCAGAAGGGAAAACCACACTTCCTGAGCAGTTGCAATCTCCCTCATCTTCCCGAGTGCCAAGAGACATGGCTCTGAGCTGTCACAGCACTTGGTGTTAGCAACTCATTCATTAAGGTCCCATCATGAAACTATCCTCACAGGGATCAGAAATTACTTGTCTGCTCTACCTGGGTCATTACCTAGTGTGGTACTAATAGTTTTGGTTGTCTACTGAAATTTTTATTTAATTTTCTGTAAGACATTTGTAATCACATTGCGTATGAAATTTAATAGGATATCTATTTCTTTCCTGTTTAAGGTTACCTTTAAAATAACTTATTTAGCCTTGCAAAAAAGGTACATCCAATCCTTAAAGAAATTCTCAGATAATCTCAAGATCACCACCGTCACTCCATTCTCACTGAGACTGAAGTCATAAGTGACTTTTAGTGATGGGGCTTCTTTTCTACACTACCAGCCTTCCAGCATCTGATTCATCAAGTTGCTGCACTGAACACATCTAAGGAGTAGTGATGGGAGAAGTTGCTGTAATGGAAGTGCTTTTCTGGAAAACAGACTGAAAGTGGAAGGCTGATATCTCTGGAGAGGCAGATTTAACGCTGTGGTATGTGGTCTAGACTGTTTGTATTTGTGGTAAAGCATGGGAAAGAAATACAGAATAAGTTTTGTTATTCAGTTTAACTTTTCGTTTCCACATCAAGTAGTGGGAGGAGAAGGCTAGAAAAAACCATTTAATCCTTCCCAACAGAGCATTAGATAATAATGGGGTTATTAATCAGTCTGCAAGTTTGGATTTTAGCATTTTCATAGCAAAGCATCCAGATTTGCATGTGCTGCTTGCAGGAACCCCTGGTTCTGGCTCAGTTACCAGTAGTCCCGAGCAGATATGGACCGTTTTACAGTGAATAGCTCTTTTACCCCTTCACCAGCATCCTCATATTTTCATTCCTGCACACAAGGGAGAAAAGGGTAATGCCATCTGCAGGCAGGCAGAAAATGGATGGACTCTGGATGATGGAGAGATGGTGCAGCAAGGGATGAAGGCAGCAACTGGCACAAGGATGGGGACAGAGTGGTCTGTACACTCAGGCTGTGCCGCTTCTGCAGGCAGGATGAAAGCAAGCTCTTCTATTGTCCTGCGACTGTTTTGCTGGGTCACAGGCCCACAGCTCCGCAGGCTGTGGAGGCCAGATCCCACCCCGGCTGCTGAAAGCTGTGCAGGCTTCTGTGGCTCAGCTATGGACCACCATGTGGGCAGGGAGCTCAGGAAAGAGCCATCCCACTCCTCTGGCTTTGCTGTCTGAAACCTGCCGAAACCTCAGCAACATGCTGAGGCTGTGCACAACTGCTTCAGTTCCTGACAGGCAGCTCAAAGTTTTACATGAGGGTGACCTCAGGGTTGGAAAAAAGCCCCTTCCAAGTGATGAGGATTTCTTGTTGTTGTTGTTGCCTATTTCAACTTTGCTAGCCATAGATTAATGTGTCCCACTGCTAAAGAAGCACATAGAAGTGCAAGGCAGCTGGGGGAATGAATAGCTATGAATAAAAAAAGAGGTAGTGCAAAATGCATGAGGTAATTTTAAGGTTCCAGGCAAAGGTTAACCTCTGCTCTTTCCTTATTAATAAAGCTGCCAAAATCTTTAACTTTCCAGTTACATGGTAATGGCAGTGTGCCCGGTCCTTTGGCTACTTGCCCTTTTTGTTTTAGAAACTAAAACACAAAACACATGTTATGACTCCGTACCTGGGACCAATCCTTCATGATGCTGAGCATATCAACCACCTTTAGCTTCAGTGTAAGAGCACGGGGCTCTGCACTTCCCAGGACCGGACCCACTGTAGTTTTTTGTTTCCCATTTGGATACATCTACCCTCTTTTCTTCACTCCTATGGAGATTATCCCATGAAACAACCACAGAAGTGGACATAAATTTCGGTGAACTTACCGTTGTGGCAATGACGGTAGTTGGGTTTGGGATAACTCTGATGCTTAAAGTCACTGTTCCAGTTTTAATTAGGTGTGCAGCTTTGTCCCTGGCAGATAGTAAATTGTCATCTGTTATATAGACGCGCAGTCTGTAAATCCAGTTTGTATCAAGCCCGCTCTCATAGTCAAACCTTGATGCAAGAATCAGCCGAGATGTGTTGGAGCCGGCATGTGGTGAAAAGGTGAAATGATTGTTCACATTGCCTGCAAGCAGTAGCAGAAAAACAAAACAATGCCAAAAAAAAAGGAATAAAAGAGAAAAGCAATCCCACATCAAAGTAAATGGTTGGAACAAGCAAAAAGATCAGTTTTTGTTGACAACTTGTTATGGATCACTATACACCTGTGCAGTGAAATATAATTGATAAGAATGGCTCCTTGATCTTCCTGTTATCATATAAAATCAGATAAACCAATATAGTCATAATAGCATTAAAATATGGAATAAGACCCTTTATGGGGACATAGCTGAGAGGAGGCTGTGGAAACACTTCAGAGCCATAGGGCACACAAGAAGTCACCCGAACGACCTGTCCTTACAGCCTGGAGAGCACCCGGAAGAAGCAGCACCCAGCCGAGGCAAGGACCCTATGCTATTGCTGGCTTCTTCTGGCTACTGGGGTGTCCCTGGAGTGGCCCCTAGTCCACATGGACACCACCAGTGTCTTCAGAGGCCTCTCCAGCCCCTCTCCATGGCCTCCCTGGCTGCCCAGAGGCAGAGGCCTTTGAACAGGTCCCCCTGAAGAAAGCTGATGACTCAGGGGACATTAATTGCCTCTAGGGCTTCGTGTGGGGGCAGAGCAGAGAGTTCAGTGATGCTGGCCCCTCAGCCCTCCAATTTCTGTCCGTGTAACTGGAGATCTGCTAGTGGCCTGGGCTGCAGGTAGACGAGCTCCAGCTCTTAGGCTCCGAGCAGACCACACGTAGGAGAGATCAGAGCCATGAAAAGACACCAGATGTGCTTTGGGTTTTCTTTTGTTGCCCCATAGAGCTCCAGAGTTGAAGTGACCTTGAAGACCATGTCTATGGCTGGGCTGTGGCTGCTCTGTGGCTCAGAGGCCAACTGCATGGCACAGCTCACATCCATACAGCCAAACCCCTGAGCCTTCACCCTGGTCAGGCCATACAGAGAGCCTGCCAGCAAGGTCCTGGATCCCTCAGCAGTGCCCAGGATCTCTTTGGGAATGTACTGCTTGGCACAGACCAAAATCGTGCCAGCAACCAAACTTAATGCTTCAGCAGTGTGGGCCAATACTGGACCTGTGGCTAGACCCTGATTTACTGATACAAACACACCCTTTGTATAGGCTCATGTGTAAATACCACTGCTGCAGAGGTCCTCTGTGGCATTAAGGGGCTGCGATAGGACAGAGGTTCTCTCTTTTTACGCTCACAGTTTTTTACTGGCACCTGGACAATCTGCTCCCTCCTTCTCAGCAGTCACATCAGCAATAAAACAAGAAATTGCCCCAAGAGAGTGCATTCCCCGTTTTGTGAAGCTGAGCGTCATCCCATACCGTAGCAGTTCTCCGAGTGGATGCAGTTGATTACTACAGTCCATCACATGGTCTTAAAATGGGGTTTTAACGCATAGCATGGACCTAGGACATGCAGGTTTGCTCAGTTGTTTTGAATGGTGTACCAGCAACTAAAGGTGAGGTATGCAGAGTAACAGAACCAACCATCCTTTCTCAAATTTACTCAGCTGTAACTGGAAGTGAAATTTCACCCTGCATATCATTCCAGCTCATTCTTCTGAAGTCCTTCTCAGTTATGCAATTAATTGCCAATTAATTAACATGGTAGGCAATCCAGTCTTGCAAGGGAATGGTTCTAGGTGGTAGCACCAGTAGCCAACTTGTGGAGAGACGTCTCTTTTGGTAAGCAGCAAAGTAATGATGTGCGAAACTTGTGGATCACAACTAGCCCTCCATGAGACGTAGCACATAAACCGTGCAAGACTTTTATTTATGAATCAAAGCAAACCATCAGCATTCACTAATTTTTGCAATGCTCCCAGTTCACACACCATGACACAGTACCTTCATTAATGAAGTAACGGAAAGACCTGGGATCAGAATCACGATCTTGACATTCAATCCTGAAGCCATTAATATTGGTCCCAACAGCTAAGCTGACTGGGATTTGAAATGAATAGAAATTGGGTGAACAAACTGGTTCTTCATCATTTACTTCCAAAACATTGACAGTTACCTGAAAGAAAAGAGCAATAGCAAGCTGAAGCTCCTCCACTGTGCTGAGACAGAATTTTATTAACTTCAGAAACTGTTTGGTTTTGCCCATTTTGCTCTTTTGATCAACAGCAGTTGAAGAGCAATGAACCTCCCTTCCAATCTAGTTTCTACCAGAAAATGTCTGTGATCATTTGACCTTCAATTCTTCTCGAATTGAGAAGGTCAATTGACTTTCAATTGACCTTCTGGGTCTTCTGGGAACAGGTTCCTTAACCTGAACCATCTTCCAAAACCGCAGGGGTTTCAATCTGACGTGTCCAACTGTTTGAATTACCTAAAGTGTGTCCTAGTAAGAATGAGACATAATAATAGTACCACGTATTCATTAAACTTTGTTTCAAACCTCTCAAATTGCTTCACAGTCATTAGTTAGGCTTCTTAACATATTTAATAATAATTCAGAGTATGATCCATGGAAGGAAGGAAGACTCTTTATAGACTGATTGTTCCCAGTGAGAGAGAAATGCTGGTAATATCTTTTTGCATGGCTGGGAGCACCCTGGGTAGCACCAGATGTGCTTAATGTCAGCTGGGATTAGCTGGCTGAGAGAAAAAGGTTACCCTTCTCAAAGCTCTTTCCGCTAATGTCTGTTAGTCTTTAACCTACAACAGATAAACTTGTCATCATGATGCTAAATTTTCCTTAATCATCACCTTGAAATATTATAGGTGATAAAGAAATTAAGTACCTCCCACCTAGCACCTCCATGGGTGGTCCTTGACTGGAAGAGAAAGCAGGCCTAGTACCTGTATCCTCCCCCAACAGATGTGCAAAAATCAAATGTAAGGCAGTCACAAGGTGACTGAATACGTGAAAAGGAGTAAAAAGGAGCCTGTATGTGAAGGACACTGCGATTCTTTGAAAGAAGTGACTGTAAAATACCTTTGTGGGTATATCATCTCTATTTTTTCTTCTGAATAAAATAGGTCCGGGCAGCAAACCTGAGCAAAACCCTACTTTTTAATGTTATCATGTTCCCTGGCACGCTCTTGGCTCCTGCCAGATAGGACCATCAGGGACAAAACTAGACCAGAGTCAGGGGAAGGCACGTGTAAGGGTCCATCCTCAGTAGGCCATATGGACACAGCTGTACTGGGTGGGCCTTCTGACATTGTCCCAAGAGGCTGCCCAAGCCCTCATACCATCCCCAAAGTATGCAGCACATCTCCTCTGTCCCACCCCATAAAAACACAACTCTGATGGGCTGCAACACAATTCTCGCATTACTTTGGGCACTTTGCAGTGAAAAAATGTCACATACAAAATCAAAAGGATGTTTGAGGGCCAAGGGGCACTGCACGAGGCACAAAAACTTGGCACTAAGCATGGCTATAATTAGGTTGTGCTACCTGGCCTCAAGACCCTTTCCTTTTTCTATTTTCCAGTACATATGTAGCCAAAAGGAATATCTTAAATTTTCTAGGGCACAGAAAACAATTTCACTGGTGAAAATAGAAAAAAATAAGGTGAAATAAGGTGAAATAAGAAAAAAAGACTGAGAAAAAAACCCCACAGAGTTAAAAATACAAAAATACTACTTTAATTCTTTTTGTAAGAAATAAAGCAAGACTGAGTGAACACCACCTCTTTCATCTGACTAATATACAGCTCTGTGCAGGGGTGGACTTGCCTTTTACAGACCAAAGCGCTTTGCCTAATGTCTTACCGTTCTTGTCAGGAAGAAGAGAGAAAAATGTAGATAAAGGGGGAGAAGTAGAGTGGATTTACTCACAGATGCTGTTGCAGTCTTCTCTTGGTCTGAGGCCTGTACTGTGAGAATGTGTTTCTGAGTTGTTTCATAGTCTAATCTAGCTAAAATCTTCACATGTCCTTTGGTTGGGCTGATCCAGAAGATATTTGTGTAATCCCTGGTGCCTCCTCCAGCTGCAATGGAATAAGTGATGACACTGGGCGGCCAGTCCTTGTCTCTGGCATTCACTC